ACTCTAAAACGAGGGGCGATCCTGACTTTGCCTTACCCGGTGCAACATGGTGGCAGTGTGTGCACCGCAAGCAGGTCCTCAATGTCCTTTTGTCTAGAATCTGCCTTGGCAGAAGGAGCAGGAGGCCGGGGGATCCCTTGTGTGACTCAGAGCCCACCTTCTGAGCTATTCTGGAAGGCTTTAGGTTGTGCAGACTCCTTCCAAACCAGCGAGGAGCCAAGCCTGTCTCTTCTTTAGGTCCTGGAGACGTACTGCCCGCCTGTGTCCTGGTCCGGGATTGCTGGCTCTACGACCCCACACAGATTCCTTAGCCATACTGTGGCTTGATACCCCACACTCCTCCTGTCTGATGGTTCTGGAGGTCAGAGGTCCTAAGACCAAGGCGTTGGCAGGGCTGCGTTCCTTCTGGAGGTTCTAGGGGAGAATCTGTTTTCTTGTCTCTTCTAGCATCTCGAAGCTGCCCACATTCCTTGGCTTCTGGTCGCATCCCCTACCTTCAAAGCCAACAGCGAGGCATCTTCCACCTCCCTCTCCCTCTCTCTCTCTAGTCCTCCTGCCCCCCTCTTAGAAAGCCCTTGTGGTTACATGGACCTGCCAGCTAATCCAGGCTGATATTCCCATCTCAAGATTTTTTTAAAAAAAAGTTTTATTTATTCATGACACACAGAGAGAGAGAGGCAGAGACCCAGGCAGAGGGAGAAGCAGGCTCCATGCAGGGAGCCCGACCTGGGACTTGATCCCGGGGTCATGCCCTGGGCCGAGGGTAGAGTCTCCACCACTGAGTCCCCCGGGTGCCCCACTAGAGCGATACTCCTTTTCCAGCAAATGCTCAAGTCCTTGATTGATAGTGGGATGGGGAAGAATGACATGATCCCTTCCCTCCTCCTGCCTGCCGGGATCAAGGGAGGGACGCCGGTGGGCACAAGGGCAGGCCCATCTCCACGGCCCTGTCGTTTCTGGGTGCCCTCCTGCAGCCGCCGAATGCCAGGGGGAGGAGACAAGCTTGTCAGCACCTCTGTGCCACCTCTGTGGCACCCCAGGCCAGGCTTGGTTAATGTTTTGTCTGCCGATGACCCATTGTGTTTAACAGAATCATGGGTGCCAGAAGCCCATGAGGGCCCTTTGGTTCTAGAAAGAAAGGAAGGTGGCCCAGCCTGGAAGGACGTGCACCCCACAGGGTCCTTCATGTCTCCGGGTCACACAAGGCACCGACCTTGACCACCGGCCCCCACCCCTCCTGGCATCTGACCTCAGGGAGCATCCACGTGCACTCTGGGGTCCCGTCTGGCTGCAGCCTGGGGCGCCCTGTCGGTTCTACGAATCCAGGGACCCTTTTCTTCGCCAGAACCCCCCGTGCGGCCATCTGTGTCTCCCTTCCTGGCTAAAGTGTCCCTGCCTCTGGCTGCATGACTTCCTTTCCTGTGGGCTTTCCTGAGGGGGCCTGGCCTGGAAGGTGACTGTGTGTCTGTTCCTGGGCCGCAGTGTAGCGCCTCGGGGGAGGGCGTGTGCGTTGCCCGCCTCTGTCTCCCACATCTAGCCCAGCGTCTGAGGTAGTGTAGGTACTGGGAAAGGTTTATGCAAAATACGTGTTTTCAGTCACTTCTCTTTTTTTAAAAAAATATTTTATTCATTTAAGAGAGAAACAGCGCACAGCAGGGGGGTAGAGGCAGAGGCAGAGGGAGAAGCAGACACCCCGCTGAGCAGGGAGCCAGACTCAATCCCAGGACCCTGGATCAGGACCTGAGCCGAAGGCAGATGCTTCACTGACTGGGCCCCCCCCTGGGTGCCCCTTGAGTCACAGCTTGATGGGTTTGGGCTTCTAGCACTCTTAATGTCCAGCAGGCTCAGTAGAAATTCTGCAGATGCGTGGCTAGGACTGAGCGGCCCAGCGTCGCCGTCAGGCCATGTGTCACCCCCTGCCCCGGTGGCAGCTCCTTTCCTCACCTCACTCCCACGAGGTAGGCCGGGGTCCCGAGCACATGCTGCCCTGACGTGTGCCCCTTCTCAGCTTTGCACTTGCCCTTCCCAGAGAGCCTCGGGGGCTTTTCGCTGCCCGTGGGATCCAAGGATTTACTGGTGGTGGTTTAAGGTTTCCAAGGATTTACTGGTGGTGGTTTAAGGTTTCCTGGTGTATCGTCAACTTGCCAATTCCCACATTTCTCCTTTGCGGCTCCTCGGTGAGGGAGGGAAGTGAAGCACAGAGCCCCCAGGGACCTGTGGCCGCTGGCCCCCCACAGGCCTCGGCCCCGGCCTGGCTGCACCCCCTGGGGAGGCCACGCCTGCCTCCCCCGAGGTGGCCCAGTGCAGAGGCCGCTTCTCAGCTAGGGGTCACCAGGCTCCTGGAGCATCTGGACTCCGTGTTCCGCCGGGGAGGCGGCCCCCTGCAGACCGTGCTTCTGTGTGACCGCGGACGTCACAGGCAGATGCACCCCTCGGAACAAGGCAGTCCAGGCCGGTCATGCCTGAGTGCAGCCAGTATCTCCTCGATCAGCCTGACTTGCTGGCCTTTTAAGGTCAAGTCTTTCTCCTCCCAGTGTGGCCCCAGAGCATCTTTGATGGAGGCGAGTGTCTCACTGTGCGGAAGGAACACGTTAGCGGCGGCGTGTGGCTCCCAAGGGCCTGTCACACAGGCTGCCCCATTACCCTGAGCCATGATGCCTCTTGTTGCTGTCGCTGCACACAGGGCAGCCCTGCTGACGAGCAACTGTTGTTTAAAACCTATCACGTACACTAAAATTTATTTACTGTATTTATTTTATTTTTTTAATTATTTGGGAGCATGAGAGAGAGAGAGAGCAAGAGTGGAAGTCAGGGAGGGGCAAAGGGGGAGAGAGAAGCAGATGCCCTGCTGAGCAGAGAGCCCGACGCAGGACTTGATCCCAGGACCCTGCGATCATGACCTGAGCCAAAGGCAGACACTTCACCAACTGGGGGAGCCCTCCAGGAATCCCTTTATGATGATTCTTATTTCCGCTGCCGGATTGTGATCTTCACTAACGGTGGGGAGCTGGCCTCTCAGATGCCATAGATGCCCCGACCCTCATACCTGGAGCTTTCTGAGCCAGGTCACCCTGGTAACGTGGCACCAAAATGAGCATTGACCTCCAAGGAGTGCTCATAATGCTGCCCCAGTCCTGTCTGTTTTGCCCTCTATTCTCTCCGTGACGGTGGGAGGTCACGGACGGGTCCCTGCTGTGTATCATGAGGTCAGAGGAGTCGCGTCAGGCCCTTGCCGGGCAGGGCGTCCCGCTGCCTTCACAGACGCAGCACCCACGCGGTGCCCACGCTGGAAGCGCTTGGACGCTGCCCCTGGAGCTGCCTGGAGAGCCCACCTTGCTTCAGAGGGGCAGTCACCACCCAAATCCGTATTCGGACATAAACAGAAAAAAACATTCGTCCGGACGGATCTTTCTTCCCATTTTCCCTCGCTGCTTCACGCTCCTCCCGCTTGGTGCGTGTCGTCGCTGCCCTGCTGTCGTTCAGAGTAGCCTGTTGTCTTGTGCTTTGCCTTCTTTCCCCGCCTTCCAGGCCGCGTCATAAGCTTCCAGGCTGCCACGGTCCTTGTCGTTGCTGGTGGCTTAATTATTGCAATAAATAATTGGACTGCTTAACAGTTAGCTTCCCCCGCCCCCCAGGGCCAGACAAGCTCATTCATTTCTGTTGACAGTTGTTTACGGAGCGGAGACCCAGACTGCCTGGGTGACGGTAGTGAGCCGACGTGGGTCGGGCGCTCGCTGCGTGCCAGGCACTTCGCTGAGAGCTCTTGCAGTAGCATCCTGTAGCTCGCCGCCCGCTGGCCCTCGTGAGGCACGTCCTACATCTCCCTGCTGCAGGGGACCATCAGGGTTGCCGATGCTGAAGGACCCTGTGCGGGGCAGCACGTCCCAGGTTGGAGGGACAGCCGTGAGCCTGGGCATGTCTGTCTCCAACACTCATGGTCAATATGACGTCAGCTCCGTGAGGGCGAATTGTTTCCCCCCTGCTACGTCCCCAGTGCTGGGAGTGCCTGGCACATAGTTGGTGCTCAATACGTGTTTGGTTAACGAATGACTAAATGGTCTTTACATGATGTCACGAGCCAGAGGTCACGTTTCTCTGGCTCCCGAGTCTTTGTTTTACCACTATGTCATGTATAGGTGAGCAAAAAAAAAAAAAAAAAAAAGTAGATAAAAGAACATGTGTATATATATTTAGGAATTTGTGTGCATATTTTTCTGTCTTTCGATTTATTTTGTCAGGATACATTGTAAGAAATGTAATTACTGGACAAATAGATTACAGAAGCATTCACGAGGTCTTAAGAATGTATTAACAGGGATCCCTGGGTGGCGCAGCGGTTTGGCGCCTACCTTTGGCCCAGGGCGTGATCCTGGAGACCCGGGATCGAATCCCACGTCGGGCTCCCGGTGCATGGAGCCTGCTTCTCCCTCTGCCTGTGTCTCTGCCTCTCTCTCTCTCTCTCTCTCTCTCTCTCTCTGTGTGTGTGTGACTATCATGAATAAATAAAAATTAAAAAAAAGAGAAAAAAAGAATGTATTAACATTTTTTTATGGTGAAGTGAACGTGTCTTGTTAGCTACACAAAATCCTCTGTTTTTGCTATGACTTTACCAGCAGCACTTAAAAAGATGTTCTTTACTGATGTACGTTGTTACCTTGACATTTTATTTTATTTTTTTTAATTCTTTTTAAATTTTTTTATTTATTTATGATAGTCACTCAGAGAGAGAGAGAGAGAGAGGCAGAGACACAGGCAGAGGGAGAAGCAGGCTCCATGCACCAGGAGCCCGATGTGGGATTCGATCCCGGGTCGCCAGGATCACGCCCTGGGCCAAAGGCAGGCGCCAAACCACTGCGCCACCCAGGGATCCCACCTTGACATTTTAATTTGTTTTTGAGTCACTGTTTGCTTTGGGATCTTTTATGAATTATCTGCTCATCACGATCTCACGTTTGCTTTACAGCTGGGTGCTCCCCCACCTAAACACGAATGTTTTCCAGGTCCTAAGGCAGTGGTGTTCCTGCAGCATGGCTTGCTGGCAGATGCTAGTAACTGGGTCACCAACCTGCCCAACAGCAGCCTGGGCTTCATCCTGGCCGACGCCGGTTTTGATGTGTGGCTGGGGAACAGCAGGGGCAACACCTGGTCCCGGAAGCACAAGACCCTCTCCATAGACCAAGATGAGTTCTGGGCTTTCAGGTGTGTTTGAGTTGATCGCGATGGGGTCTGCTTCCTTAGCACCCTTCAGGCAGGCACTCTGGGGAGGCAGATCGACAGGGAACTCAGGGCAGTAGGAGAGGTTGCAAAAGGTTGTTAAAGGGTGAAAACCTGGGATCCCTGGGTGGCGCAGCGGTTTGGCGCCTACCTTTGGCCCGGGGCGCGATCCTGGAGACCCGGGATCGAATCCCACGTCAGGCTCCCGGTGCGTGGAGCCTGCTTCTCCCTATGTCTCTGCCTCTCTCTCTCTGTGTGTGTGTGACTATCATAAATAAATAAAAAATTTAAAAAATATATCATTTAAAAAAAAAGGGTGAAAACCTACTGAGGAATTTAGTAAATCACAGCAAGCTGAATTAGAAGCAAATAATTACATCTGAGATTTAGATCCGGTTACGGATGTTTAGTTATATTGGCAGTCCGGGTCGTGTGGGACCTGCTGGGTGACTCGTGTCCTATGACCTTCTTCCTTCCTCCATAAACATGCACTGCTTTTCTATTTCCAGAAATTGTCCTCTCCTCTCTGTTACTTCTGGCTCTGCCTATTACTCATGGCGTGACATGTCAGTAATGTTTTTTTGTAAAACGGAGCTAATAAATGCCTAACTCACGAGGTCATCGAGAGAATCAAAGGAGAGGATACAGGGGAGAGCCTGGCGCAGGCGGGTGGTAAAGTCTGCGCGCGCATCTCCGGATGACAAGCGGCACACGCGCGGGCCCATGGCTGTGTCCTACTACCTGGTGTTAGAGAAGGTCAGGGCTGTAGACTCCTCCAGGCTTGTTTCCCATTTGAAAAACCGTAGTCACCTAAGGACAGGAAACGCAAGCGTGGGAGTTTTTACCAAAGGCCCGGGCAAGGATATACTTGTCACACCATTTGTAGTGGTGAAAAGGCCGAAACTATCAATGCCCATCAGCAGTGGATGGACAAGGTGAGTGTTCTGTGTCTACACAACGGATGGCCAGCGGCCACACAGCAGCATGGGTGTAGCCAGACATGCTGTTTGGCCATACTTATGGGAAAATTCAGGAATTAGGGGCACCTGGGTGGCTCGGCATCTTAAAAAAAAAAGAATGGGTTAAGCTAATTTATGGCATGAGAGGCGAAGGCAGTGGTGACCCTTGGGAGGCACAGTTAGAAGGCAGCCTGTGCCGCCCTGTTAACATGTTCTGTGCTCGGTGCTACTCTTCCTGGCTGGGCTCAGCTTACGGGCGCCGTCACACTGCAGCCTTACTGTGCGCGTGCACTTGTGTTTGCATGCGGTGTCCTCACGAGAGTGTTCCTTTTTTGGATTCCAGTTATGATGAAATGGCAAATTATGACCTACCAGCTTCAATCAACTTCATCCTGAATAAAACGGGCCAAAAGCAAGTGTATTACGTGGGTCACTCTCAAGGCACTACGCTAGGTATGTGATAAAGATGAGAGCTTGATGGAATGTCTTAGTCCGGTTTGCATTTGTTCCTGAAAGTGAAATATGAAAAAAAAATGTTAGTTCAAATTGAGATTGTGTGTTTTTTGTTTTAATGCCAAGCAGAAATAACGAATAGGGGAAGGGCAGAGAATGTGGGTACTACCTCATGTTCTCTGGAAATGCAGACTTTCGTATCAAGAGATACGTTAGAGCTAGAACATTCTAAGCACATAAGTTCCTTTTGAGTATTTGGTGACTGATCTGAGGGCCGCGGTAAACGTTCCCTGGGGCTGGCGGTGGGGCGGCCTGTTGGGGAGAATCTTTCCCAGGCTCGGCTTAGCTGACCGAGGGGGAGCTTCTGGACCTCGTCCAGCGTGTACGCAGGCTCAGAACTGAATCAGCTGCACACGTCCTGGATTCACTCAGCACTCTCCTGGTTTGCGGGTCCTGCCCCGGTGACCATGCTGCTGCTGGAAGTCCCGCAAGAGGGAATTCCAAGTATCTTCCTTCTGTTCCCACAGGTTTTATAGCATTTTCACAGATCCCCGAGCTGGCCGCAAAGGTCAAAATGTTTTTTGCCCTGGCTCCCGTGGCTTCGGTCCAGTTCTCTACCAGCCCTCTCTCCAGATTAGGAGAATTACCAGAATTTCTCCTGAAGGTACGTGGACTCCCCTGACCCCAACCCCTCTTGCCCCACAAACTTCCTTTTCAGACCTGAAGAATTGGCCCTTAGAGGGAGAATCTGCGCCTTCCCCCGGTACGTCTCACTGTTGATGGAACACTGGGGCTTCTCACCATGGTGTTTCTGTCCCCATCACCCCTGCTTCCAGGTCCTAGGGGGTCAGGGAAGGCGGGTCACTAATGCTGCAGGGGCATCGTCTTCTCACGGGTCACTTGTCAGTGCCGCTCACCACCCACCACACAAAGGGAGCCCAAGGGAACCCTTAAGCAACTAGAGTTGCTCTTGTTGCCACGTGGGGAGCCCAGGGAGCCTGTGCCTGGAAGGAAGAGGCAGGTGCTGCCCCCATATGCCGGACCCTGGCCCCAAGGGCAACCCAAAGACACTGTTCCTATTGCATTTCATAGCCTGACCCCAAACACAAGCCAGTAACCGCCTGAGGCTCAACCCAGGAGCTCTGTGAGCCCCCCAAGCTCTGTCCAAGGACGAAGCAGTTTTCAGGAGGAGGAGTTGAGAGCCAGCAGAGGCCAGATGGCCCATTACTCATGCACCCGATGTGCTTCCCGTGCAATACATTTATACACACGCACAGGGAATGCTGCAGACTGTACTCTGATCTCGGAAGCCGACCGTCACATAAGATGGATCCTCTGCCCCCATGACCAGAAGTGCACGTAACGTGTGGCCCCCTCTAACCAGACTTGGGTTGTAGAAGCTTCAGGTTTCATTACAAACAATTCAGAGATTGCAAATAAAGCGCCCTTCCATTCGTTACCCAGGCCCTCTCACTCCTTAGAGTTGAACAAGGTGCTCAGCGTGGGACCTTTTCCTATAGACCTTGGGTGTGGATTTATTTTTTATTTTTATTATTTTTTAAAGATTTATTTATTTATGATAGACATAGAGAGAAAGAGGCAGAGACACAGGCAGAGGGAGAAGCAGGCTCCACGCAGGGAGCCCGACGCAGGACTCGATCCCGGGACTCCAGGATCGCGCCCTGGGCCAAAGGCAGACGCTCCACCACTGAGCCCCCCAGGGATTCCCTGGGTGTGGATTTAAATACACACACAGATCCTGCACACAGATCCTGAGAGAAATTCAGTGTTTTGTTTTAACGCTGACGGTGGCCAACTTAGGTATATATTGCTCTGTGGGTCGTGCCTTCCACTTGGAGAGCTGCCATGCGACCGCATAAAACACTGTTCCGTTCTTCCCCCTTAGCAGGAATTACCACTTACTTTTTCTTTTTTTGTCTTTTGAAATCCAGATAACTAAAGCTAAGGGCTTTGTCCCACCTTTTTCTTCTTCTTTTTTTTTAAATTTAAATTCAATTAAGTAGCTTAGAGTGTATTATTAGTTTCAGGGGTAGAGTTCAGCGATTCATCACTTGCATGTAACGTCATCAGTCCCAGTGCTCATCACGTCCCAGGAACTGCCGCCTACGTAGCCAGACTCCCGTGGTAGATGCTGAGGTTGTTGCTTATGTGCTGTGGCCGTGCCCCTGTACCTTCTTCCCGAAGAACTGAAGTGGCTCTGTCATAGGAGTGTCTCTGATTTCATGTAATCCTTGGAGGTTGTGATTTAATAGCTTTGTAAAGGTAGACCCCCCACTTCCCGCCTTGGAGGCAGTGCCTCGTTAAGTCTGCAGAGGGCCCTGGGGATCTGCACTTTCACAGAGCACCCCATAGGACCCTACTGTAGACTAAACAGCCTGGTCCTCGGGAGTCCCTGTCCCAGACAGTGGTGTTTTCTGATATCCTGGGACAGTGACAGAATGGGAAAAATAAATGTTCCTAAAACCTCTCAATTAGCTGCTGTGGGAAATCTGGGTTGCATTCACGGAAGCTCAGTGCCCTCACTCTCAGAACACGATGATGTAAGTTAGGAAGACTTCAGGATTGACCTGAGCAGGCCTGTAAGTGTACATAAGGTGAATTTTTCTTTTTCGGAACACACTGTCCTGCTTTGACGTAGTTGCCAGTGGAGCGTGCCACAGTGATGTTCGGTTTGCAGTTTTAAAGTTCAAGGTCAAAAAAATAATAATAATAAAAAAGTTCAAGGTCAGCGTCACCACCCCGTCTGTCCAAAGGAGAACGTGGCGTATTGTGCCCCATGTCAGGGATGCCCTGTCTCCGTGGTTTTAGTAAAGAACCCCAAAATCTCTTTGTCACATGTGACCATCACATAGACTTAAAGCCAGGAGTTTTGCATACTGATGCCTCTTCCTGCAGCGTCCTGCTCTGCACATGCTTCTCGCTCCCCCCCCCCCCCCAGCCAGTCATCATGCTGGGGGGGGGGGAGTGAGAAGCATGCTTCTCCAGTCAGGAGAAGAGGCAACCCGAGGGGACCCAGGGGCATCCTGTAGAAGATGGGTCCGATAGAGCTCACGGGCTCTGCGCACGGGGACAGAACTTGCCCGAAGTAGGGCTGAATGTGGCCCGTGTGGTGCAACAACTTCAAATCAGTCACACCCTTTAAGAAGCATATCTAATGCTGAAATCTCAATAATTGATTATTTTGGGGGGCGGGGAAGAGTGTTGTGTACCCCAAAGCAGTTGCACCCTTAGGCTGGGTTAAGCTTTCCGGTTCAGAACGTCACCCAGGCAGCGTGGCATTTCACATTCGCCATTTTACACGCTGCGCTTTCGTGCCGCCGCCGCGGGTCTATTAGGCCTGTGAGGAGGACCCTGCCTCATGCCTCGCCCCCCGCTTCTGGCGGCTTGCTCCGCTCTCCTTGGCTTGTAAGAGCCTCTCTCCCGTTTCTGCCTTCATCTCCGCATGTGTGAGCACCCCCTGCGTGTCTGTCTCTACCCAGAGTCCTCCTTTCTGTAAGGACCCTGGTCCTACTGCGTGGGGGCCACGCTGCTCACCTCATCTTCCCTTGACGGCCTCTGTAAGGGCCTGACTCTAGTAAGGTCACATGCCGAGATACTGGAAATTAGGGCTTCCACATACCTTTTTTTTTTTTTTCCCCCTGGGATGGAGGAACACGGCCTTGGTAGGCATTTGAACTTTTCACCCCTGCTCGTCCCTCCGTGGGGTAGGCATCTGCAGAAGTATAAATCCTAGGGGGACAAATTTGGGTGAAACGTAAGGAAGATGCTTTTCCTGTTTCGCATTGCACCCATACGTGAAGATCTTTGGGGGCATAGTGATTGCCCCAGAGATCCTTGAGCACAGGCTCAGCGGCCATTGGTCAGGGCTTGTGGAGACAGGAGTCTGCACACTTGGTCTCTAAAGGGCCCCGTAGGACGTATTGTTGGCTTTGTGGGTCACATGACCTCTGTTGTAACGACTGAACTCTGCCCCTTTAGTGTGAAAACAGCCAGAGACAAAGCAGAAGAAAATGAGTGCACCTGTGTGCCAGTAAAACTTTATTAATGAATAGGCAGCGCCGGTGGAGGAAGAAGGAGGAGTTATTGTTTAGTGGGAATGGAGTTTTAGCTTGAGATGTTGGGAGAGCTCTGGAGAGGAGTAGTGTTGTTTGGATTGCACAATAATGTGTGTCCTAATGCCCCTGAACTGAACACTTAAAAAATGGTTAGAATGGTAAAATTTTGTGTTCCTCATGCTCTATCACAATAAAAAAGCATGAAAAGAAAAACACAACAGGCAGTGGGCAGGAATTGGCTCACTGGCCAGTAGAATTTATTTGGATTTTATATGGATGTGTGTGTCCTACGTGAGATACGTTGTTGACCAGCCTTGGTTTCGACTTTCTTGGAAGTCACTACCAGCCTGGCAATCAAAGAGAGTTCTTGGGGATGACCCTGGGATAAGTGATCATTAATGCCCCTTCCTTTTCTTTTCTTTTTTTTTTTTAATTTTTACTTATTTATTCATGAGAGACACAAGCAGCGGGGGAAACGGACTCCTTTCCAGGACCCCGGGGTCACGACCTGAGCAGAAGGCAGAGGCTCAACCCCTGGGCCACCCGTGCGTCCCATTGCCCCTTCCTGCTGTACAAAGTCTGCTGTTTGTTAACTTATTTGGTTTTTCTGCCTCTTTTCCTCACTGGAGACTTTAAGTCCACATCTCTAACATCTGCTTTTGCCCTAGTAAACCTATCGTGTAAGTATGCTGGTGTGACCGTCCGCCGGTTGCCATTCGTCTTCTGGGGTCTCATGTGGGGACACTTGGCGTGCGTCTCCGCTTCGGAGGTGGGTCGGGGGGCTTGTAGGCCAGAATGAAATGCTGAGATATTCTTGGGTTTCTTTTTATTTTATAGGACTTACTCGGGTCCAAAGAATTTCTCCCCCAGAATATGCTTCTGAAGTGGCTGAGCACACACTTTTGCTCTCACGTCATTCTGAAGGAGCTCTGTGGAAATGCCGTTTTTGTTATCTGTGGATTTAACGAGAAGAACTTAAACATGGTATGTGTGTTTATGATCACACTTGCTTGAGCTTTCAGTGAGTTTATCTTGTGTGTGAACATGCATGTGTGCTGGAGGATGTGAGAGAAGCATGAAATGACCTCACTGAAGACACAAGGGATTCGCTTTGGCAGGTGCCTGGGGATGCTGTCTGCTGGTCTCAGGCCTGCTGTGGGCAACTTCCTGCTGAGTGAGGAGACTTGTCGTAATTTAAGTCCTGATAATTATATTCATTCTAGTGATCTGTTTCTTTTGAAAAAATAATGGTTAAGTGTATTTAAATTTGCGTGTGTGTGTGTCTGTGTGTGCACACATTTCTTTACTTATTTTATAAAATGTAGATCTTTGGTCAGCAATATGCTGGTACTTCTAATGCTTTTTTAAAAAAGATTTTATGTATTTTGAGGGAGAGTGAGAGAGAGAGCATGATGAGCATGCACAGGGGCAGGGGCAGGGGCAGAGGGAGAAGCAGGATCCCCCCGAGCAGGGGTCTGGGGTCCTGACCTGAGCCGAAGGCAGATGCTTACCTGGTTGAGCCATGCGGGCGCCCCAGTGCTGGTATTTCTAAATATATTTGTCGTTTGTAATGTTGCATTTTGAAAACAGGCTTTAAAATTCTAGAATGAAGACTCCAGGGAATTCTTTTAAGTGATATTAATTTTTCTTGTTCCCAATGACAAAAGCAAGGTCTGAAGAAAATGGAAATGACCCATAACCTCAACCCACGCAGCCCTACAGTTAGTTACCGTATCGCTCTGCTTCATTCCTACATATTCTGTGTGTGCATGGTTGTACGTCTTTTTATAGGACGTATTTGTAGTCAGAGAACTAGAACTTTTTTCCTTGCTCTTCGTCTCATACATTTGAGATTGTGGCTCCGAAGTCCAGAACATGTTTCTTACCGGTGCCTCCTGAATGCCGTGTCCTTTACTTATTCCAGTGTATTTATTTTGCAGTCTAGAGTGCCTGTGTATATATCACACTCTCCTGCTGGAACTTCTGTGCAAAACATCTTGCACTGGGCCCAGGTAGGTGTTCCAGGGGCGCACTGGGGTTTGCCCACCATCCCAAACCCTTCCTGTCCCCCACAAAGCCGGTCCGCTTCCAGAGCAGGGCTGGTTTCCTGCCCCCGTGTCCTGGGTTCCTGGCATTGTGCTACCGTACTGTTTGCGAGTTCACCCAGCAGCTATCAGGCTTGACTTTTTTCCCCTGCCCTCCCCTCCCCCCATCAGTTTTTCACGGAATCCTAGATTTATCTTATTTCTGTGTTGTTCCACAAAGCAAGATTTTGGAGCGGCTTTGAGAGGGAGGCTGCAATGTCAGTACTAACCCAGGAACACAGTGGATAAACCAGAGCTAAACCAGTCATCGCATCAATGGGAACCACTTGCTTTTAAAATGCAGTTTTGATTGTCTTATCCCATACCAGAAAGCAATGCATGTTCGTTCCAGAAAATTCAGAAATCATATATTAAATATGATTTAATAAAAAATAATAATAAATAAAAAATAATAATGCTCTTATGATAGAAATAATAGTTGTAGGAAGAGGCTGATTAATTAATAAGATGGCTTACATTATTTTCTTCTACTTATTCTTTCATAACTTGCTTTTTTCCCACCTAACAGTATTATCAGGGGCTTATTTCTACCTTAGGACATATTTTTGTAGGAATTTCCTTCCTAACCGTTTTTTTTTTTAAGATTTTATTTATTTGGGATCCCTGGGTGGCGCAGCGGTTTGGCGCCTGCCTTTGGCCCAGGGCGCGATCCTGGAGACCCGGGATCGAGTCCCACATCGGGCTCCCGATGCATGGAGCCTGCTTCTCCCTCTGCCTATGTCTCTGCGCCTCTCTCTCTCTCTGTGACTATCATAAATAAAAATAAAAATTAAAAAAAAAGATTTTATTTATTTATTTGAAAGAGGGAGAGAGGGGAAGGGACAGAGAGAGAAGCAGACTCCCTGCTGAGTAGGGGGCTGGCCCGGTATGGGGCTCCATCCCAGGACCCTGAAGTCACCACCTGAGCCCAAGGCAGATGCTTGATTAGCCTACTGAGACACCCAGGGGTCTCTATAACTTCTTTTTAAATATGAACTAACTCACCATTTAAGCTCCAAACCAAGATGCTGTAGGTGCCTTGGAGAGCAGTTGCCAAACACTGGGTAGTCACCATCTGCATCAGAGTTGCCCCTTTTAACAAAATATTGTTTAAAAAAAGTAAGGGGAGTTGGTCTCACGGTAGGCTGTTGGGTTGGCTACAATCCAGGCTTCTAAAAGTGGATATGTAGAAACTATGATGGGGATGATAAATAAATATATTAATTCACAGATTAGTAGATGTAGAACATAGTATTTATAGTAATCCACATGAGTACGTTAACATATAATCAGTATTTTATATTAGTATGAATATATTAATCCCTGTACGTTTTAATCCCTATATAAGTCTTAATATGTATATTACGTGTAATATCCATTTCTTTCCCAAACAAGGTAGTTAACTATTTGAAATGTTTAAGATTCAAATTTCAGTAAACAGCATAAAGTTTATCTCATGAGTATAGTCATCGATCCGGTGTCATTCACAGCACGTGTGTAGCTGCTTTAGTGTGTCATAGGGTAGCTACATTGCAACCAAAATGAAATTCTTGTATTATTTATTTTATTGAAGTGTAGTTGACGCACAATGTTATATTGGTCTCAGGTGTACGGCAAAGCAATTCGACGAGTCTTTGGGTCATGCTGTGCTCCCACGGGCGTAGCCACCATCTGTCACCACACAGCACCGTTACAGTACCAGTGCCATTTAATTAATTTATGTAAAGACGTTATTATTTATTTAGAACTATTTAGAGTAGGGGAAGGGGATGGAGGGAGAAAGGGAGAGAATCTCAAGCAGATTCTGTGCCGAGCACAGACCCTGATGTGGGGCTCGATCTCATGACCCTGAGATCATGACCTGAGCCGAAACCAAGAAGCAGACACTCAACTGACTGAGCCACCCAGATGCTCCCCCCAATGCGGTTTTATTTTATTTATTTATTTATTTATTTATTTATTTATTTATTTATTTATATTTTTTATTTTTTGCGGTTTTATTTTAAATTACAGTTTGGAAATAAAGAGTAAATCTGGGGCCAGCGTAAAATGGACTTCTGAGGATACAGCTAACTCTAGCAACCTGTGACGCTTTCTCAAACTTCTGTGTCAGATAATATTTTCCCTCAAATTATCTTCTTTTTAGTTTATTAAATACCAGAAGTTCCAAGCCTTTGACTGGGGAAGCTGTGCCAGGAATTATTTCCATTACAATCAGGTAAGGGCTTCAAAAGTCTTTAGAATTAAACCTGGCTCTGAAAAACCACCAGCGGAGCCAGCTGGAGTCACGGGGCCTCTGGGCTGGGTGGGGGGTGGGTGCTCGGGTGCTGGGGGAGATGTGAGGGAGACCTGAATAGACGGTGGCAGTTTCCCTCCATCTTCTGGAACAACCCGAGCCTTGTGGTGGGTGGTATGGCCTGGGCCTCCCATCCTGGTCCTTTCCGCTGGCTCTGTAACAACTGTCACCGTCTCATATCGTTCAGCGTGACCAGGAACACGGACTCTAGGGTCAGGGAACCCTCAGTCTTCTCCCTGGCAACTGGCCGGGCTGCACGGCCTAAGCCTTTTCTTCCACATACACAGAAACAGACCATTTTCTGAGCGCCGAGGGCTCTAAAGCCTGAGGCACGTGGCCCATATTTTTCCTGTTTAGTTCTCACGCTGCCCGTGTGGCAGGTGCGTTGGCTGTTATCGTTCTGGAAGGTAAGGGAACTGAGCTGGGCAGAGTTCCTGTGACCTGTGTGGAGCCCCAGAGGGAGAGGAAGTCAGAGTAGGGTGTAGGACACCCCCGCCCAACCGCCCAGGCTCCAGGGCTTCGCATCCGCTGCCCAGAGACCAGCGCCTTCCTCTGGGGCCGAAGCACCGAAGCACCTGCCGTGGTGTCTGGCACGGGGCAGCGGGCGATAGCTGGCAGTTACTAGGGTTACGGGTCTGTGCTCGGGGTTAGGTTTCTTTTTGCTCGGGTAGTAGTGACTTCAAAAGTGAGCTGAGAGCCGTTGTCAGAACTTCGTCTTCCACTGTCCCATCACACTTACTAATCGGTATCGAATGAGGATTGCTTGTGTTTTTGAAAAGTGAAACAACAGCAAAGCCTTCTGTTGGTTTTACTGCAGACTTACCCTCCCCCTTACAAAGTGAAGGACATGCTCGTGCCCACCGCCGTCTGGAGCGGCGGCAACGACTTGCTGGCGGATGTCGACGACGTTGGCGTTTTGCTGTCCCAGATCACCCACCTGGTGTACAACAAGCTCATCCCTGACTGGCAGCATCTGGACTTTATCTGGGGCTTGGATGCTCCTTGGCGGCTCTACAACGAAATAGTGAACCTAATGAGGAAGTATCTGTGAGAGCCACGCTGGAGAAACTGTCACCGGTTCGGGTGACGAGTCACATTTAAATTTGTGGGCTTGATTTCTCTAAAATCATTGTCTTTCCCAGGCCTTTTAAATTTTTTGTATCCCATGGAGCGATGACTGAAGTTGCTCAGGTCTCTCCGGGATTAGAAACGCGCTAGCTTACTTTCTCTCGTCGCGGCCTTTGTGAAGCTCGTGTCTCAAACATGGTGCAGCCTCTTTAAAGCTACCACTGACTTGCAAAAGGTCCTAAATGTTGTGTATCCTTACAATTTAAAATACACAATACTGCCTTTTTACCTTGCACAAGACACACATGCTAAGTATGTGATGGGGTTTGAAAGCTGTGAGGTTCGTTGGCAAATAACCGGACTTTTGATTTGAAAATGGTCAGGATGTGCCCAGTTCTTATCTCTTTGCCTCAAAGGGCTGCTCAGTCCAGCGGCCTTGGAGTCACCGGAGAGCTAAGTGACACCCTCATGTTCTCATGCAGTTGGTGCAGAGCTGGGCCAGTCGTAAAGATTCTATAATGAATTTTAGCCAACAACCATGATTCTCGTTATTTAGCAAATGTTTAAATTGCTCAGACCAAACAAAACAATTGGCTGGAATCTTCAGACAATAAATTCTACTCATTAAAACGACCCCCCAACACCCTATATTTTACATGGCCTGAGGACAGGCAAGCCTCCATAGTCAGGAACCTCTCATTGTGCAGCAGGCCAGAAATCCACTGGTGTGAGAAGACAAGTGGACCGGGAGGGAGCCCCAGTCTCCTCCATGGGGTTAGCGTCTGCTAGGCCAGCCGCTGTGACTCGGTGCTTGGGTGTCGGAGGCAGGAGCCCAGGGCTGCCCGGGAGGAGTGTCCTAACCATTTTCACCCAAGAGAAATGTGACATGATTGTTTTCAGATGAATGCTCAGGGATTCTTCCCGTGTCTTTAGTTTCGTACGTGTCCATGCTGTCAATGCTCCTGACCCCACTCCTAGTTCACGAAGCCCTTACTCACCTGCCTTCCTTGCTGCGCCATGTCCTTGCAATACGAACAGATGGACAGAAGGACAACCGATAGGTTTTTCTGGTTCAGCTCTTTTGGCTGCGATAATAAACGATGCTTGGTACTGGCTGATGTGTGCAGGCAGCACGATACCACTTTGTAACACTGAAAAAGTCTTATTGGAACTTTGCAATAAAACTCAGTAGCTTCATGGACCTGAGGGGCTGTGTGTATGTATGTGGTTTTGGGTTTTTTTTTTTTTTTTTACATTTTATTTACTTATCCATGAGAGACACAGAGAGAGAGGCAGAGACACGGGCAGAGGGAGAAGCAGGCTCCCTGCAGGGAGCCCGATGCAGGACTCGATCCCAGGACCCAGGGTCACGCCCTGGGCGGAAGGCAGATGCTCAGCCACTGAGCCCCCGGGGGGCCCCTGCTTTCTTTATTTGCTGGCCCTTCTGTACTTGCCTGTCTCTTATGGCAGGATTTAGGCTTTTCTTTCTCATCTTCTCCCCCCCCCCCCCCCGTAAAGCCTCACTGACACTGCCCATGGGCCTTTGGGCCCTTCCCATGGTAAGGAGAGAATGGTTGCAAACCTAAGGGGCATGGGGGATATTTTGGACACAGTGGCTCTCAGCCTTACCCCACAGGGGCCGTTGAGCTTGTGAGGTCAGATGGAGACCAAGCAGAGACCCCCATCTACGGGGGGGGGGGCGGCTGCAGGAGGGACCGTGGATTCAGGGACTGTCCATCTAACCCCTCCCTTGCAGGAGGCAGCCAGGCTGGCAGAGACCAATCATTCATGCTATCGGGTCCCCAAGGCATTGATCTGGGGGCATCTGGCACCATCTCTCCATCACTCGGTGTGCTTGAGGGCCGAAGAGCCATCTTACCCGTTTCTGTAGACCCAGAGTCGAGCAAAAGCCTGGAATAAAGCGAGTCGATATGTATCCGTGGACGGAAAAGCAGTGTGGAGAACGAGACCACACCAGTCAGCTGAGTGGAGTTAGATGCACAGTGACATCCTGGGAGGGGCTGAGGTCTGAAGCGGAGCCTGTGTTTTCATGGCACCACAAAAGACCCCAGTGGCACCAGAGGCACAGGCTATACGTGCCTGGGAGGGTGCCGCTCCTCACTGGCTCTGTGTCCCCCCCATGCCGCCCTTTCTCCTTGGGCCAAAGCAACCGCTTGCTCGGGCTGAGCAGCCACGGGATGCACGGGCAGGGCTGAGAGGAGGGAGCTGGGCAGGTGCTTCCGCCTGCTGCCCTCGGGCACTAGTGGGCGACAGCTTGCCCCAGACGCAAGGACTTCGGGCCGTCGCAGGGGACTTGGGTCTCAGCTCTGCTTGTGCCTTGGAGAAAGAGTCAGTAGAGTTTTGGGCACCGGGCGACAGGACACAGATATGCGGGGTGATTCGTGGGGCCCCTCCCACCGGCATGTGTATCGCTTCCCCCCTTCCCAGGCTTTCCTCCAGGGCGTAGTCTTCAGTGTGGGGCAGGCTAGACGTTGCATAGCTGTTTTTGCTACAGTCCTGGCACCTTGCACATTTGCCTCTGTTGGTGGCCTTTTGTTCCTGACATCGCTGCATAGCTCCTTTTTTTTAAATTATAGAAGCTTTATTGTTTTTTAAAGATGTTATTTGAGAGAGAGAGAGTGAGCAAGAGAGAGAGCACAAGCCAGGGCGAGAGGGAGAAGCAGGCTCCCCGCTGAGCAGGGAGCCAGACTTGGGGCTCGATTCCAGGACCCTGGGATCATCACTTGAGCCAAAAGCAGATGCTTTATGGACTGAGCGACGCAGGTGCCCCTGTTTTATTGTTTAACAAAACAGTCTTGCTTTATCTTTGGCTGAGTGGAGAGGAGCTTGTCCCTTAAGAGGTCCTGGTACAGGTTGGTAGGAGGTCTGACTCTTCTTTTCAACTAGGTTTGATATATATTCATTTGAGCAGCACCAAAGATACCCAGAGATCTCCAGGGCAAGAAGACTAATTAATGCACCCATTGGGCTCTAAGACGCTGTGGTCACCCGGGCAAAGCCCCCAAATGGTTGAGAACACAGTCATTTCTTGCCGGCGCCATCAGAGGGCTCTCTTGGCTTTGCTTCCAAATCTGTACCTAAGGAGGCTTTCCCTCCCCTCTTGGGCAGTAGGTGGCGATGGCAGAGAAGGTCCTTGATCTGAGAGTCACTTGGTAATTTGAGGACTGGTGAGAACAACCGTGTCTCTGGTCATTTCTATCCAGGATTATGACCAATTCTTGCCTAACTCATAATATCTGAAAAATGTCCTCAAAGAGTAGCTGTGCCCCAAATGCAACATGAAGCTAAAAATATGCCTAATGGGTAAGAGAGTGCTGGGAGCCTCAGACAAGCAGGGGAAGTGGGCAAGGCTTCAGCCTGGCCTCACACTTAGGAAGGACCAAACTTTAGACCATTGATACTATCTTCAAATAATGGAGATAATTTTATGTCTGAATTAGAGGAGTTAATGCATTAAATGTAAGTATTTAAAGTACACTGTATTTTTTATTTCCTTCATTTATTTTTTAATTTATGGAGATATTTTCAAAATGTGACACCCTCCCCCCCAAAAGGTGATATTAGATGTCAATAATTGTTCTGATTTTTATTTTTTAAAGATTTTATTTATTTGAGAGAGAGCACAGGCTAGGAGAGGGCCAGAGGGAGAGGGAGAAGCGGACTCCCTGCTAAGCAGGGAGCCTGACGTGGGACTCGATCCCGGGACCCTGAGATCACGACCTGAGCTGAAGGCAGACGCTCAACCGCTGAGCCCCAGGGGTCCCCCAACTACATGTTCTATTTGTGGAGGTGGGGACAGTATCCAGAATCTTCTGGTGTGTAGTACCAAATAACTTAGAGAGTATGTTAAATACGCACAGACTTGATAGCTGCACTCATAGACGTGATTTGATCTCCAGGGTAGCTGGAGAAGAAAGGAATCCTGTCCTCCCACCCTGTCAGAAAGACCATGCCAAGATAAAAATGACAGAAAGTCAAAGTCAACTGGAAGAGCACAAAAATAGTATGGCCCAAGTTCTAATACTACTAGAACCCAGTAAATACCCCCTCTATGGAAAACCATCCCAGTAGGTAAGTAGCTGAACCACATCAATCAGTGCTCTAAAAAAAAAAAAATTCACTTTTAAGCTTCAATTTAGAGCTAGTATCTTTAAAAACAGGCATTGAGTCCACAGATATCTTTTGAACACTCACTATATGCAAGGTATAATGCTTGGCACTGGGGGAAGAACCCCTAAAAGATGGTACCTGTGCCCTAAAAAGACCCAGCAAGCTGTTCAATCTGTTTTGTGTATGGAAGTTTTTAAAGGTGCACATTTGCCAGTTCAGGAAATGATACCACTCTAGTCAAGACTAAATAGGGTTCAATTTTATTTGGGTCCATTGCGTGATGCTGTCTTTGTTGTCTGTAATGTCATGCTTACTTTTTCTGCATCCTCCCTATGACCTCAAGTGGACAACCATGAGATTATAACTGACTAACGTCCCTGAGATGATTGCATTTGTATATCAGACACCGACTTCTGTCCCAGGCAGCTGACGGGCTGGAAAGGCAGGGACGCCGGTGGCTCTTCTCCGAAGTTCTATGAGCAAGAGGGGAGAGCCTGAGCCAAGCGGAAGGAAACTGAAGTTTTACTGCACAGGACTTGATGCAATTGGCCCATGGAGAATATTCGAACAGGTTTAGTGATAGAGGATGGAAGAACCAAAGAAGGCAAAGAACAGGTTTTGGTTGGAGCTGGGGGCACAAAGGGGGCAGTCCTGACAGCAACCTAACAGCTAAGTGCAAATGAAGCACGTTGGCCAATGCCACCCACTGAAAAAATCCACAAGAGTATCCAAAGCACCCAAGCATGATAGCTGAGACCTCGGGAAGAGGACAGCGTGTGCTGAATGGAAATTTGCAGGTTGACTTAATTTCTTTTGAGGGCAAATCTGAGTGATGATTTACCTCTGGGCAAATCCTTTCATTCGAAAAGTTGGAGAAAGTGAGCTCTGGCCATCCTGGGGTGCGCCGAGGGTCTAAGAGTGAAGGAGACCAAGCCCATCCTCTTTCCTCTGAGATGCTGCTTGAGCCATGCAAAGTTCAAGGGCAAGCCATGTCTGCCAGGACTGGGAAAGAAGGAAGTCCCTGGGTTGCCCTAAAGGTGAATTGGACTGAGCAATGGATCGGGGTGGGGGACTGAAGAGGAGCCCTGAACCAACAGGCTGCCTGCGAGCTAGACACTCGCCAGCGAGGGAGGCCAGGGGCCTGTGCCGTCCCTAGCTCTGCTACCATCTAGATATCCAAGCAGTCAGAAAATCCCCCCTCCTCCTGTTTTTGCATTGATGGTCAAGAAGCTCAGAGCTGTTTCTGAATCTCTGTCTCATCAATATACAAGCAGAATATCGTAACGTTCTCTGTCTGGCACACTGAGGTTCTAAAGAAAACAAAGCTGCAGCATGGCCAGGGGCTGAGGCCCCAGGGAATGGGCGTCTAGGGAATAGTGTATTCCATCAGGGGCGGGGCAGGGGCACACACCACTCAGGAGGTTCTGAATTGGGAACTGGCTTGTTTAGGGTATATGCGTAGCAGCCAACACATTACTAGATTTCAATATATAACCATGTATTATGAACTGGCTTATGGTTTATCATATGCATATGTGTACACATCCCATAGAGCGTTATATTTCTGGGTCCATAAACTGTTTTATATTTGTTGTATTTATTCTTTCCTCATAATATGTGGCATTATCCTTTTATTTCTCTTTACGTGATTTTCTTTGATTTTCATTGTAAACTCCCTCGGTTCTTCCGGTGAAATGTGGAGCACACATTTAAAATAATATGTGTCTTCCTTAGCCAGCTTGCCGTGTGCCAGACACTCTGCTTTTGCCCCTGTAGGGCCACAGCGTGGATAGCCACGCTGCTTCTGGGCAGCTTGGGGTTCCCAGTCCGGATGAAATCACTTCAACTGAAGCACTTAGGTAATGCCTGGCAGACATTCTTTAATTATTATTGTCTTCCCATTTTAATGCTTGAAAGAACCTCATGAGATGGAGACCGGCGGTGGGGATGGATGGGGGGTGGATAAAAAAAAATGCAAAGCTTTGAGAAGTGGTGCGCTGTACCCCAGCCTCACAGGGACACCAGAGGCAAAGTTAGAATCAGTTCTGAGCGGTTCCACCCTCAAAACGTTCATCCCCGACTTCCACGCTCTAGGGGACACTTGGGTCAGCCGCCCCGGGTCAAAGGCGGAGGTGGTTTCCTAGCAGGTCCCGGGGAGGCCCCAGGCCTCGCCCAGGGCGACCGCCTCCCGCTGGGCCCCCCAGCGGGGGGGAGCAGGGAGCCGCGGTCAGGGGAATGGGGTCAGGGGGCAGGGCGGGCGGGGCCTCTGCTGCACCTGCAGCCCCTGGAGGCCGCTGCCCGGGAGGGAACCGGGTGGGGGTGGGGGGTGCAGCGGCTTTGCAGCCAGATCCGGGCGGGCTCTGGGTGTTCAAGTCCAGCACCTGCGTGTTTTGGGGTTTGTTGTTCTTGTTGTTTGTTTGAATTGAAGCCACACAGCCCAGGGCCCTGCCCAGTCGCGGGGCCTGCCTGTCGGGATGCGGGTCGGGGCCCTGCACGCTACGGAGAGGAGCGGCCAGCCTGTGCGCGCCCCGCGGGGGTCCGTGCGCGGGGGAGCCGGAGCAAGAGCTCCTCGCGGGTCGCGCCCTCCGTCCTCTTCCTCTACCTGCGCCGCACCCCCTGGCGCGCGCGCCCGGGCGCTCCGGGGTTCCCGCCTGCGGAAGGATGCGCAGCTCGCAGGTGGTCAGATCCGCCAGCTCAGATCCAGCAAGTCAGATCCAGCAGGTCAGATCCAGCAGGTCAGATCCACCAGCTCAGATCCACCAGTTCAGATCCACCAGCTCAGATCCTCCAGCTCAGATCCGCCAGGAGGTGCGCCCCTATGGAAGCGCGGAGACACCGGAGGGCCGGGGCCCAGCAGTGGAGCGTCTGCCTGGGGCTCAGGGCGTGACCCCGGGGTCCCCGCGGGGAGCCTGATTCTCCCTCTGCCTGGGTCTCTGACTCTCTGTCTCTCATCAATTAGTTAATTAAATATTTTTTTAAAAAAAGAGAAAATGACACGTCTGCACTGAAACGCACAGGGACTGGAGCGGATCGCAAAGCTCCTGGCGGGCGGCGGCGGCAACACTGCGTCTTGTTTGGGGTGAGGACGCGGAGGGATGCGGCTGTCGGGGTTCGCGGGCCCGCCGAAGGGCCGCGCGTCGTACCCCGCGGCCGCCGTTCGCCAGCCGCGCACACTCGGGGCGACCCTCCCCTCCCCACCGCACGCGCACGGGGAGGTCCTGGGGGTCTTCCCGCGGGTCCGGCTCCGGCTCCGGCTCCAGCCCCGCCGGGGGAGGGGGGCGAGGGAGGCTGACCTCGCCGGGGCGGGGCCGCGGAGACGCGCCCCGGAGCGGCCCTGGGGGTCTTGCTCCAGCTCCAGCTCCAGCTCCAGCTCCAGCTCGGGGCTGACCTCGCTGGGGCGGGGCCGGGGATGCGCCCCGGGGCGGCCCTGGGTCGGGGGGGGTCTTCCTGCCCTTCCAGCTCCAGCTCCAGCTCCGGGCTGACCTCGCTGGGGCGGGCCGCGGAGATGCGCACCCGGGCGGCCCTGGGGAGGGGTCTTCCCGCGGGTCCAGCTCCAGCTACAGCTCGGGGCTGACCTCGCCGGGGCGGGGCGGTGGAGATGCGCCCCGGGGCGGCCCTGGGGGGTCTTCCTCCAGCTCCAGCTGCAGCTCCAGCTGCAGCTCCAGCTCGGGGCTGACGTCTCCGGGGCGGCTGACACCACCCGGCTGACATCACTGGGGCGGGGCCGCGGCGCCCACAAAAGGCGGCGGGCGAGCGCAGCCTTCAGAGCCGAGCATGAGCAGCCACAACAGCTCGGGGCCCCTCACCCTGGGCCCGCCGGGCCAGCTCCTCCTGCAGCCGCTCTGGGACCAGGTGCGCGCCCGGGCCGCGCTGGCGCAGTCGCCGCCGTTCGCGGTCCTCTTCTCCATCACCGCCTACCTGGGCTGCTGCCTGCCCTTCGTGCTGCTGGACCTGCTGTGCCCCCGCGTGAGCGCGCTGCGGCGCTACAAGGTGCACCCGGACTGCGGGCCGTCGGCGCGCCAGCTGCTGGGCTGCCTGGGCCGGACCGTGTGCCAGCATGCCGCCCTGCTGCTGCCCGCCTCGCTGCTGCACTGCGCCCGCGGCCCGGTGCCCTGGCCCCGTGAGGCCCCCGAGCTGCCGCAGCTGGTGCGCCACGTGCTGGGCTGCCTGCTGCTCTTCGACGCCGAGGTCTTCGCCTGGCACGTGCTGCACCACAGGGTGCCCTGGCTGTACCGCACCTTCCACAAGCTGCACCACCAGCACGCGGCCTCTTTTGCGCTGGCCACGCAGTATATGGGCGCCTGGGAGCTGCTCTCCCTGGGCTTCTTCCACGTGCTGAACGTGGCGCTGCTGCAGTGCCACCCGCTGAGCGTGCTGGCCTTCCACCTGCTCAACATCTGGCTGTCGGTGGAGGACCACTCGGGCTACGACTTCCCTTGGTCCACGCACAGGCTGGTGCCCTTCGGCTGGTACGGCGGCGTGGCCCACCACGACCTGCACCACTCGCAGTTTAACTGCAACTTCGCCCCCTACTTCACACACTGGGACAGAATCCTGGGGACCCTGCGGTCCGCTCCAGCCAAGTGACCCGCGCCCTCCCGGTGCTCGACGGCCGGGGCACTTCACGCTCCAGTGGGGAGAAATATGCCCGGGCTGCTCTGTTCTGTGTTGGTTTTTTTGTAAGTAATTTATTGCCTGATGGAGATTTATGGGTGAAATCCGAGGTGTTTTCACCATCTGGTGAAGTGATTTATATCATCCTTGTCTATGACAGTTGTATTCTTGGACTGAAATTCTAGCTCGCTTCCATAGCCTTGATTCCTGGGTATGTTAGACACTCATCACCGGCATATTTAAATCATCTCACAAAGGACTCGATTGTAGGACAAGGACTTGGCTGTGCTCGCACGTGCCACAGAAAGAGGTGAAAATGACATATTTTTATGGAGAATAGGATCTCTGACTCTATTAGCAATGAAATATGTTCCTGCTGGACAGTGATCGCAATTGTTGTAACTCTAGTATTTTTTCATATGACTGTATATTTATATTGAAAGAATTATTATTTGTACTTTAAAAAAGAAAAGAAAAACCAGATCATAAACCAAACAAGTACTGGCTGCTGTTTCACTGGCATTGAAATACGAAAACCGGAAGAGGGAGCTGGGGTGGCAGGTGTCCCTCAGAGCCTCCATCAGCCACGGGCCGAGAGGAATCTGGGTGACGGGGTGTTCTGTAGGGGATTTGTGGGGGTGTTCTGGGGGGATGTGTAGGAGAGACAGGCCAGAGAAGGGGTCAGTTTGTCTGTTTGGGTCTAGCAATCTCACGGAGGGAGAACCGCTGTTCTTCTGAATGGTTTTCAGCTGATGTCTGCGTAACAGGCAACTCAAAGAATTACCCTCTCAAGTTTTAGAGAGATTAATTAACGCCGCTCAACCATTTGATTATTTGGAGGAGAGCAGTGTTGGGGGATGCGTAGAATCAGCAGAGTGCCTTGCTTTGCAAAACTGGTGAGTGCGAGCGTGTGCCTTAGAGGGGCTGATACCTACAGAGGAGACTCTGAGTCGGCCCTCGTTTTTATGGATGTTTCTAGCATAAGTGACCCTCGCAGCTGCTGCAGGCTCTGCAACTGGGGATTTTGGGGTATTCACTTTTCTTAAGTCAAGACATACATGCAAATTACCCCTTTCTCAAAGAGAAAAAAAAAGTGAAATTTGGCCTCAGGCCCCTGGTTCCTCATTTGTAAAAGGGGATTGTGTTCCAGATGTTCTGGGGATTACTTGCCACGGTAAATGTCCCTATTCCCGACCACACACCTGCTACCCATTATGTACCCCAGCCAGCTGCTGCCTGCTTGTTCTCATTCTATCTTTGGAATTGGGTTATACAGGCTAAAGTAAAACATTGAGACCGTTTAGATAGAAAAGCATAAGGAATGGGAACTTTGCATGTAATTCTAGGCTCATTATATACGGACTAAACGGTCTTGTTTAAAGGTGGAAACATCCATCTAAAGACCCGGTTTCCGCAGCCTGCCAGATGAGACTCCCGAGAAGAGGCCTCCCCCCGCCCCCTCCCCCCCCACCCTCCCAGGCTGGCAAGATGCAGCAGGATGCCTGGCCACTCTGCGGATTTTCCTACGTTCCCTCCAATGCGTGGGCTCTCTTGGCTTCTTCACTACCTCCTCCCGAGCCTGCAGAGGGTCCATGCCGGTCTTAGGGATTCTCTTGATGCGTAAAAGCGAGGTCCGTGAAAACAGGCCATGAGATGTAGGTGGAATGGGCTGCGTTGGAGGGAGTATGAGGGCAACACACTGGACGGAGAGGGAACAGAAGAGCGGGCAGGCGTGGAGTACGTGGTATGGCTATTAGCTGTTCCGAGCAGCTCTGGGCACCCCCCGAATTGCCTCCAAATCTGGACTAATGACAGCTTATCACAGCTCACTCTCAGAATTTTTTGAAAATGTTTTGTGTTGTCTCACTGTAGAAGGGAATTTTTGCATTTCGGGCAAGCTGTATCCGTGGAAATTATCTAGGGTTAGAAACATTTTGTCTAAATCGAGCTCTTAATGGTTTTTAATACCTTGGGAGGTGAGGTAGGGGAGTGGAGAGGATGAGCGGTTTTTCAGCTAGTTTAATAGCCCAGGAATAATAATAGTGAAAAACCTCACATCTGCACGCACTTTCACACTTTGTTCCACTTGCTCCTCACACTCTAAGGGAGGTAGGATGGCCCCTATTATTATCATTAGGATCGCCATCCCATGTTACGGATGACGAATTGCTACCTGCACAGGTTAAGTGACTTGCTCCTGACACTTTTTTTAGATTTTATTTATTTATTCATGAGACACACAGAGAGAGAGGCAGAGACGCAGGCAGAGGGAGAAGCAGACTCCCTGCAGGGAACCCGACGGGGTACTCGATCCCGGGACCCCAGGGTCACGGCCTGAGCCGAAGGCAGACGCTCAAGCCCTGAGCCACCCAGCGGCCACACTGCTTTGCTGTGGGTGTCCCTGGATTTGGAGCTGGGGAAAGCAGGTGAGGCCAGTGCCCGCAGGCCCCCAGAGAGCAGCCGCAGGTCAAGCTCCATTTCCCGTATCCCTCACTGCACGGGGGCAGGAGCACAGACGCTGCAGCCGGACTGCCCTGGGGGAAGCGTGTCCCTGGGACCTAGCTAGCTGAGTGACCCTGGGCAGATTACTGAGCCTCTCCGCCTGGCCTCCCTGTCTGTGAAATGTGGATCATCACGGAGCTCACCTCCCGTGGTTTCTGCGGGAGGTTCTGAGGTGCGTGCAGGGCTACATGGACTGGGGTGGAGGGGGGTCTTGGCTGCGTTTGTTGGCTGCAGTGGGTGCTTCAGGAAGCCAGCAGCAGGGCGGCCCCGCGGGGACCGGGCCTCCCAGCCACACGCTTGAGCTCTCCTGCCCCGTAGGGGACCAATGCAAGCCCAGGGTTTGATCCTGCCTTACCTGGATCTTTAGGGCTAAAGGTTCGGAAAAGAGAAGTCTGTGTTTGCTTCTTGCTCCTCACCTCTGAGACCTCCCACCCCTCCTTCTTCCAGGAGCGCCCATTCCTGGGTACCTGCTGTTTCCCCATCGATCCAATCCAGTGATTTCTTCTCCTTGCTTTCCCATCTTCCTGCCTTTTTGTCTCTCTTTGGTTATCCAGCCTCTTCTTGGAACATGGCTCTTGCTTGGTTTCAGTGAGGTTGCTCCAAGCTGCTTTCCTTCCTGAGTCTCTAGTTTCCACGCGTGGCGTAGCACGGAGGCCAGCCTCAGCCTCAGGGTGTTTCTCTTCTTGCTAAAAAAGCATTGACTCTGTATGTGTAGGTCAGATGGGTAGTAGGTGTAGGTCAGGGTGTGGGTCATTCGTACCAGCTTCTAGTGCAGATCTCCAAATCGCCGCTCACAGAGTCGCACACACACACAATGCATAATAGGCGCACCTGTATGTCCATGCGCATGTATACACTGCATGTGGAGACACCCTGAGGGTACACGCGACACACAAACTACATAGGTCAGCACACCATTATGTGTCCGTAGGCGTGGTTTGCATAAACACCATCACACGCACGCACAGGCACAAGCACACAGGTATTCACACATCTGCATGTACACACCCAGTATAGACATGTACTCCCTCCTCTCTGTCTCTACCACTTTTTTTTTGAGATTTATTTATTTATTTGAGAGAGAGAGTGAGTGGGGGAAGGGGCAATGTGGAGACTCTCCAAGGAGACCGCTGCCCAGCGCGAAGCCAGACGCAGGGCTCCATGTCACGAGCCTGAGATCACAACTTGAGTCGGTGCTTATCCGACTGAGCCACCCAGGCAGGCCCACACACTACCCAGCGTGGCCTGGATCCGGGAAGCTTTGCCATCGCCCTGCCCTTCCCCGTCGGGTCCTCATTCATCTCTAGTGCAGCCCGGCTTCCTAGCGGGGACCACACTCCCGACACGCAGTCTCCGTTGGGCGGGGGCCCAGGATGCCCAGCCAGCACGGGCGCCTAATCTAAGGCAGCACGCACTCCAGCGGAGGGTGTTCGCAGGGTGCTGAGAACCCGGGCACCTGGGTTTGAAGAATGGAGCTCAGGGAGGATTTGTCCGTGTTCACAGGCAGGGCAGGGCGGGGAGCGCTAAAGGGACCTGGGCGCCCAGCGAGGAAGCGGCGGCTCGGGGACAAAGGGCTGCAGGGGCTTGGCACCGCTTGCCCACCTGCTGCGCCCGGGCCGGGCCGGGCGACGCGGGGCTGCCTGGCGGCCAGTCGGTTTATCGTGAGCCCACGGGTGCGTGAGTGAGCCGACCCCGGGGTGGAAACTCTCCTGAGAAGCTCCGGCTGTGTTCTCCAGGCAGCCGTTCCTTCGGGTGAGGGCCAAGCCCCCAGATGCTAAGCAGAGGACGGATGTGGTTCCATCTGGTGGATGAGGGCGACTGAGACGCAGTACCGGCTCCTGCGTCGGGGCCCCTGCAGGCCCGGCTCCAGGCCCCACTCCTCTGCCTGCAAGCTCTGTGAGTGCAAACAGGCTACTGCATCTAAGACCCAGTTTAAAAAAAAAAAGGGCGGGGGGGGGGATTGTGCACAATAAGGAGGGTATTTGGAGAATTTCACGCCCTGCCACCAATGGAGCAAACCCTCGGGGTAGCAGCTCCTCCGTCACCAGCTGTGGGGAAAGCATCAGGGCTGCAGTCGGGACCTTGTCACCTTGCTCCCAAGGTGACCATGGCAGGTAAGCGGGGGAGGAATGGGTCTCTGTCCTGAAAGCAGCACAGGCTCAGGGAAGGGACGGCGTGAGGGAAGCGCGGCCTCCGCCTCAAGCCTGGACTTCCTCCCGCCAGGGATGCAGCCGGGCCACCCTGGCGTGGGCTGCAGACCAGAGCCACTGGCCCGGGCCCTGTCTCTCTTCAGCCAGGAGGCACGAAATGGTCTTTGAAAGTTAAAAAAAAAAATAAAATAAAAGTTAGTGTGAGCAAAATTTTTAGACAAAAGCCCAAGGGCATTTCCTCCCTCTAAATATCTTTGGCCTATTTCCTTTTTCTGTACTTTTTGATCATGACTCAAAGCAAGAAGAGAAACTGAAGCTGCCTTGCCCAGCGGCCGGCTCGGGGCTTGGGGCACGGGGCATGGGGTTCTCCCCTGCCCACCTGGCCTCCCCTTGGGCAGCCACTCTGCCCTCCCTGCCCGAGAGAGAGGCCTCGGGAGGAAGGGGTCGTGTCCCACGGATCCGGATTCCCTGGAGAGCACGGCCAGCATGGCTGCAGGGCTCGGGCCAGCAGCTGTCGCGGAGCTCCCTGCTCTCCCATGTGACGGGAATCTTGAGCCCTCGGAACATCAGTTTTCCTTTCTGTGACATGGGCGGAGGTTGGGGTACGTGCAAAGTAGGGGGCCTACTTCCCAGGCTGCCAGGCGACCTCAGGGGACAGTGGGAGGACAGTGGGGGACCCCGGGTGTGTCAGGAAGGCACCCAGGCCACGGCCTCCTGTCTACCCCCGATGCCACCTTAGGCCTTCCCTGCCAAGCCTGGCCTCGAGGCTTTTGCCTGCAGCCCTTCCCTGAACTCCTCTCCTCAGCAGCCCAGGCTCTGCCCCCCATGCCGCGTCT